GTAAAATTAAGAGACTTTGTTGAATTGTAATTTTGTGATTGTAATTCTGTACATTTAATTAAGTTATTGTTAATTGTTATTGGTTTATTGTATGTGGCCATTGTTCGGGACGAACAATACTAAGGAGGGGCAGTGTTGCGTCAGCGAGGTCACGTGACTAGTGTCACGCCACGTTTCTGGAACTATCTTGTTCCTTCGTGAATGCCCTAGCATTTACTAGATATATGTTTGTCTGGTATATATATAAGACGCTCACAACGTGACCACAATGTGTGTAGGTAGTGAGTAATTGAACTGCAGTCAGGAAGTATTGTTGAAGTTAACGTTCGTTGTTAAAACGTTTGTAAAAGAGCGACTGTTGAAAATAAGTGTATCGGTAAAGTTATATTCAGAAAGAATAAACCAGTTTTATTAAGTAAGGACTTGTGTCGCTAAATATATTGCAACTAACTACACATATACTTTTGAAACACAAAACAAATAACACAAATACTAATTAACAACACGTTTTGAGAGATAAACCAATCAATTTAGTACTTTTATCAGCTTACTAACACCTTTCAAATAGAGCTTCAACAAATTACTCATCAACGGTTCAGAGGTAAGTCTGAGGGCTTATAACGCTAAAAATCGGGTTTCTATACCCGCTGTGGGCAGAGTACAGACAGTCTATTGTGTAGATTTGTGATTAATAACAACCCAACAAATTCATCAGATTAATTATTATTTTAAAATATTTTGACGATACGTGATTGCTCATGAAAACTAAACTAAATGTACATCAAATCAAATACAGTAAATGCATTGGTATACAAAATTGAAATTTCTGTCGTCAACATCAAACTCGTTCCGACATCACGTAAAGCCCATACAACTGCAATTTTTGACGTTAAATATAATTTTTCTACTATGAATATAAATTTTTTGAATTTCTGTCAAAATGTAAGCAAAGAGAAACCAATTTGAATAATATCTTAGATATTATGCATATGTCATAATTTAATCTATTTTCTATTTAAATAAAGTTCATTGAAGCTTGTTTTAAAATATTTTGGATTGATTGGAAGGCTAATATCTCTGTTTTTCATTTCTTTTTTTTTCAGTGTTCCATAAAACGTCGTATGTTGCTTATGTTTCATCGACTGGTTTTTACTTTCTCCGAAATATTTCCGTGATTTTTCTTTTTGAGGTTGTTTAATGTTTCCTAACTCGATACTTGTATTTTGAATTGTGTTGACACTTTAGTCTATATTCAAAATACTGTGACTTCAGTCATATGATAAATACAAAAGTTTAAATATTTACAAAAATATTCATAACCGTTAAAAACATATTGAGTGTGTTCATTGTATCACCACGCCTACTTTAACTACTTATCAAGCAAGAAAGTGAGTTAGTTATTTAGTCAAGTTAGTGCTAATACTATTACTAACAGTTGTGTTAGTAACAGTAATATTACTGGTATTACAACATTTGTTATTAGTTATGTTATTAGTAGTAATACTAATACTGGTATTACAGCAGTGGTAGTTAGTATTATTAGCATACATATATGACAATAATTAAAAAGGTGAAGCACTGAATGAATCTTGTGAGAGTTTTTTGAAGTTTTATATTTTATTTTCAAATATTAATCTTAAACTTATTCTACATTTTCTGTTATACTGTGAATCCAAAGATGCCAAATGGGTACAAATTATAAGTTATGACATATTTTGTTAGTTTTTGATTTTATTTTTAACTCTACTTATTTTAATCATTTATAATTTGTCAAAATAGTGGGATAGGTACTCTTTACAATCTGATACTTACCATTGTACCAAAGATGCCAAATGGGTACAAATTATAAGTTATGACATATTTTGTTAGTTTTTGCGTTTATTTTTGACTGGGCTTATTTTAATCATTTATAATTTGTCAAAATAGTGGGATAGGTACTTTTTACAATCTGATACTTACCATGGTACCATATAAAAAAAAAGTACTACCCAGCCCAATATTAAGACTATTCTTTAATAGAAATAAAAGACTATTTTAACTTTGTATTCTAATTCCAAGTTCTATCGGTAATATATCCATAAATTCTAATAGTCGTCTCTCAAATTGGGGATTAATACTGCAGTAATGATCAATAATTTATTTTTCGTTACTAAATGTTAATGTATTAGATTTGTTGTATGGGTTCCATTATTTTTTATATCATAAAATCAATAATTTGTAACTTAATTCTTCAGTCTTAGTTTAATGTTAACTTTTAACAGCTTCCTTAACGTTCACAGAAGATTTATTTTAAAGGTACAAATTTAGATATAGTATAGACATTTTTAAATTTTAGTTAAATGCTTAAGTAACACAAATTGTTGTAAGGTAAAAGAAATACAGCAGGTGAATTTCAATTTCACAGTGTATTGTCATTATTATAATTTATAATATTATTTGTATTACTTAGTAGTTAGAATCTGAGACAAAAGACTGTGGAATTAGAATTTACATTCTCTAAAAAAGTTTCATATTTTAATACTTAACTTTAAGTGCCTATTATTTTGATTTTAGTGCTATAAAAAAGTATAATTTATTAATTGTATCTTATAACTTGTGCTGTGACAAAATTATGTACAGATAACTAATGTTAAGGTAGTCGTAATTTAGTCTTCTATCAAGATTTACAACTTGTAACAGCAATAGGAATTGAAATGTTAATAATGAATGCAACATTAGTTAAACCTATGGTCCAAGCAATATAATACTATTATTATAAGGATATGCATCTTGTATCTTACGCTTTTATACTTGCGGTATATCTCTTGTACCAGTACTTGGTAGTAATGGCATTATTTACTAATAATTTAGGCCTAATGCTAAATAGGCTTAACTTAGTATTGTTTCTACTAAGCAAATGATTACTTTGTCTTATTTATATATAATACAGTATATGGAAAGGGTAGCTTAATAATTATAAACTTCTGTAAAAGATTACTTACTAATTTACTTAGAAATGTATATGCAGGTAGGAAAGCCATTGCATTGCCATATTGACTAAGTCGGCATTTATTTCTTAGACTGGACTTAAATTCAACTTTGAAGGCACTTTGTGCAGGTCCTTATAAGTTATAATTTGGAAAGTCGACTTAAAACATTTAAATGTACTTTTGTGTAAAATGAAGTCCATGCTACACTTTATTAAACAATGTAACCCATGAGACTAATTTTCAGATATCATTATTGAATATTTTGAAAAATGTAAATGTAAGTTCACTAGAAATTATCTCCTACCATTCTAAAGGTGTAAATTTGTTTAACCATACAAAAACAAAACTGTAGTATGATAAGGACTGGCTTTAAGTTTTTTTTTTTTTTGGCACTTGCATAACCTAGAAAGAGGTCTGAAAGTAAATGTTACATTATATTATGATGTTTTTTTAAGACTGTAGAAGCAAAGGCAGTGGGATTCATGGATCAGTATGATTATGATTAATATGTCTTTATTTATTTTGATTATAAGTTACCCAAGCAAATAAATCATTGTATAAAGTTATATCAGTGCTGTTTTGTTTACACATCTGCTCTTAAGAGTATTTTACACATTAAGACCTAAAACAGAGAAGCATAATACACCAGGAGAACGATGAAAAATAATATATCTCATTAATTCTGTTTTGTGGGGCTTTGCCATCTTTACTCAAATATAAATATAATTTTCACTCTGTAGTGGCCTGTAGTACATATGGATTCTTTGGGCAGAATTCTTAATTTGGTTATCAAAAAGACAACATACATGAGGAGCAACAAGCTTACAGTTGGTAATTTATCAGAATAAGCATATTTCATTAGCTTAAATCTAAGAAAGACAATTATAAGAATTGTAAAAAGAATTATATTCTTTAAATTTGAGTTCCACAAAACAAATTTGTATTAAAAAAAGTAACTCAAGGATCCTAATATTTAAATGTGATGGTGTCCTGCCATAAACATACCTACCTATTTGTATATCCTAAATCAAACATATATATATACATAAAGAATCTATGAACTAAATAAAATTTGGTGTGTTGTCATTAAAGAAAAAAAAATTGTTTAGTAGAAATTAGGGCTTAGAAATGACTTGAGTTGCAGAATGCGATAACACAAGCCTGCAATGGTCTTATTGTCTTGAAATTTTTACATGTTCTACAGTAATTCCTGCACGCTGAATCCAAAAATATCCATTTTTCTCCATCGTGTACAGATTTTTCACAAAACTACATAATGCAATACATAAAAGAAAGACACAACACGTAGTTTTGAGACTAAAAAATGTAATTTCACAAAAGATATTGGGATGAATGAGAATACATATTTGTTTCATTTTCTTCAGTTTGTTTGTATTTTTGTAAACAAACATAATAATAAAAAAATATTAATTGAAGTAAATGAAATAATAATTTGATCTAAGTAAGAGTTTTTTCCCTTCCGGATTTGTAAAAAAAAAAATCCTTATGTGATGGAAAAAAATGAATATTTTTTTAAGTCTGTGTAGCTGAATTATGGAAAAACAACTTTTATGAAATTTTAAATTCATAGGCATGTGTAATTTGTTTCCACAAAATTACACTGTTTACCATCTTTTTCTATGTAAAGCCATATGGACATATCTATAAATAACTATCACACAATAACATCCACTTTGTTAGCATTTTACTGTTTTCCAGCAAAGATACTATTTTAAACACTAGGGTCCTGATATATAAAGCACTAACACCTACACTGGGTGATTAGTGGGATTTAATAATTGATTAATTGTCAGAATCGTTAACTGATGACATTAAACTAATTGATTATTCTCACATTATACTTTGGTAGTTGGTATAACTGCAAACATTAATTTTGATGGTTTTTGCTGATAGATAATTAATCAAGTTAATAATCCAGTTCTACACATGATGTAGTAAACAAAAGATCTTTATAATTAGAAGAGAGTAAAGAGTTTGAAAGTTTAGGGGTTTGTATCCTAGATTGGTGATTTTGCAGCTTTGGCATTAACATGTAATAACTTCATAAAAATAATTTATTAAGTTTTATTGGTAAACATTGCAAGTTTTTCATTCACAAAATATTGTTTTATATTAAGTATTAAGATTTTTTAATTCAAGATTTTCTTGTAAACCTTTTTCTGTCAGAATGTTGACTATCCAACATGCAAAGCAATTTTAATTTTAAGATTAAAAATACTTAATGCATTAGAACATTTTCAAATTTCACATGCAAAATCGATGATCTCCAGATAATTATAAAATTTTCTGTAGAAAAACTTTATATTTTATGGATTATGGTTGTATGGATTGGTTCGATTTGACCGACTTCGGAACCTCAATAAAAAGTTAGGAAAAAAAATATAAATTATGCTTTTTTCTTTCTAGAATGACTACAAATTATAACACATTTTAGCTTAAATAGCTTAAATCTCATAACATTATACATTTATATATATTTATTATTTTTATTATATTGACCTTCCAGCTGTGACTGGCTAACAATACAGAAGTTACAATGATGTGGGGCACGTGCACTCATGTTACTGTATCCAATAATATATAACTGACCTTTAGTCTTTACAAAGTGACTTGTCTTGGCTGTGTTTTATTGGACTAGTATTTTGTAAAATATAATCACATTTCAATTATTATACATTATATATGTATATACATTATTGCTATTTACAAATAAGTTCTTAAAATTATTTTTCTTAAAACATAGAACAGTAAATAAAGAAGTAAAGCATACAATTATCTCTTCTAGTTATGACCTTTGTACTCCTTTACTGCTTGCTGTAGGTTGCTAAGCCTTATGAAATTTCCCATGTGAAGGATGTGAAAAAAAAATTTTTTTAGGTTTTATATATAGATTTGAAATAACCAAAAAAATCATAAATTACTATATCAATACCATAGAATCCCACTATAAATCATCAATCTTAGTAACTAAGCTGTTTTTGGGTCTAAAAAAATATGAAATTTTGAGCTCACTAAAGACTTACTTTATTATTTGAAATCTTGTGTGAAAAGAATGAAATTACCACACTAACATTTCCAAATGGCTGAGAAAACCACTGGGGTGACATTATGAGCTTTTGATTGGTTAGTCATGTCATATCTAGAAGTAAGTTTATATAAGGGACCATTTCCAAAAATGGAAAGAGGTAGGTAGGGGGGGTCACTGTGTTTGATTAAGTACAGTCTTGGCAAATAGAAAAGATAAGAGGTTCTTATTTTATATTCTAGCTTGTCAATATTGGTAGTTTGAGTTCCTAATTCATACGAAACTGTAGATTTTGACATCACAAACATCTAATTTGAACCAGTGCTGCATTCAACATACCATGTGACACACAAAAATCAATGTTTTGCTGTGTTTTTAATATTTATCTTTAAATTAAGAAATGAATTAACTTATAATACTAAGATTTAAATTATAATCTACAATTTGATACCAAACTTATTGACATAGATTTATAAAATAGTTCAATAAAATTTTGAATGCGAGTCAACAAACATGATGATATGGCCTTTGACACGTGACTGCGATAGGGTTAATGCCAACTACTATATTATTTAAAGTTTTAATTACCTTTGTTCTCACAAACAAAACTACATGTTCTTTGAAGACAACAGTAAAGCTAGCTACAGTGGATGTTTTTTACAATGTTGCTTACTTAAATTATAGAAGGTATGTAGAAATGTGTTTTTCACAAAAATTTACCTTTTTCATATATACTTAATGAAGATGAAACATTATACTTAACCATCCTCTGTGAGTCTCCAGAGTTCATGATAGATTGATTGTGGGAATGCAGTAACAATGTATTGACTCGTAGCATTAAACTTGATGAAAGAATGATCGATTATCATAATATTCTGTGTTATTTACCATAAGTGTTTGACAAGATAATGAAAGTATTATTACATTTGTTACAAAATTTATACATTCATGATTGTACAAGAGCATAAAAGAAAAGGGGATAAAAATCCACTTTGCCCTGAGCAGTTGACCCAAACATAAAAAAATGCATGGTTGAAAATTAAACATTGAAATATTTGTTAACCCAAGTATACAGTGCAAATGCTCACATGATGTATACACTCATTTAGTATCTGTTATATGAGAAAAGGGAGAAAAACTTTTATTTTAAAACTATGAAAAATGTTCTGTGTGTGGTAGACATGAAAAAAATATGTTTAACAACCGTGGTTTACAGAATGTTACTAGTAAGAGAAAGAATTAAACTGAATTTAATTTGCAAACGTGTCACTTAGTAAATTTTATTGTTATAATTTGAGAAAATTTACTAAGTTGTTCGGAAAATCAAAAACTAATTTCTTTTATCTGACTTTTTATGCAACAATCATAAAACAGACAAATAAGAATGCATAATTTTATTGAGTGTATTTTGTTTTTCATGTTCTGATGGAATTCCAGCAAATGAAGGGACAAGGTAACATAGGTAGGTTGAAAGATAATATTTTCTGCATTGAGAAACTAGATTATTGTTACTTGTTTGTTATTCAACAAAATTAAGAAAATGTAAGGTTCAATTAAAGAAAAGGTTGGTAATAAAATAACCCTGAACTAGGTGCTGTATCTGGCATTGAAACATGTCTAATTAAGAATGGTGACTGTAAAAAGAACTAAAATAAAGAAAAATAATTTGTAGAAAGTACACTTGAAAAAGCCAGATCTTACTGCTGTTCTCCAAAAAGATAATAAAATGTATAATTTTCGTATTTTGAATGGTATATTGTATCATCCTTTGACAGCCACAAAAAACTTGCCTGGGCTTCATTCAAACACATTAATAAAACATATTTAACTACAAGCATCCATGTGATTTAGTGAAACTATAAAATATAGATATTATAAAAGAAAATAATGAGAGATCTCTAGCAGAAATAGTAATGTATAAGTCAAGAACAGTACCTTAAATAGCAATTATATACAAATTGTGAAAACAATCTCAGGAACTTTTATCTTCATTGCAAACTAATAATGAAAGTGATTACTTTACAAATAGTAAAAAAAAAAGAATTTTCTTTTGAAATAATTGTATTAAAGAATCTATATAATAATGAACCAGAAATTAAGATATATTAGACAGAACTTGTTTGTGTGTAAAAAAAAAGCCACAAAGAATGTAGAGGTATTTTATCTTGTTTTTAAGTGCAGTGGAAGATATGAGTTCTGTAGAGCCCAAAAATATTGGGCAAAATTAAGATACATTGAGAAACATGAGATATGTGAAAAAAATGTCATTTAGATGAGGTAAGAATTTAAAAGTTACAAGTTTAACCATTAATAATCACAATTATATGTAGTATGGAGGGTTTTGTTTAAAAAAAGTTAATTAGTCATCATTAAAGAACATTATACAAGTGGGCAGCAAATAACTGTGAAGAAATAAGTATGACCTGATGCAAAAACAGAACAAGAAACTCGAGTGACAAATAGTAAAATAAAATTGTAAAAGATGATGATAAAAATATGATATATTAAATTTGTGTTTAATGTTATTGCAAATATATAAAGCTCAAACAGGTTCAAAAACAAAAGTTATCAACACGTATTGTAGCATAGAACTTAAATAATCAATTTATGCGAGTCATTTAATGCTGAATTATGAATGGATGTAAAATATTTGTCTTCTGTTTATTGTGGGGAAAATTATAAATTTTTTGCTGAAAATTGCTTGTTTTGAATTATGAATAAGGATGAGAATATTTTAAATACAGTAATAGCTGTTGTTTTTTTTTAGAAAGAAACCTCAGACAATAAATGGTCATATATATCTCTTGTATCAATGACTTTTGATGTAGACAGTGTAAGATATAATGGAGAGTATGAATGATAGTACACAATACAATAATATCTTTACCATCTTTTATTTCTTTTTAATTTTGATTTATTATTTGTAACATTACTTGATTTGTACTAATTTCATCAAAGTTGTAAGCTTAGGTGTTTCTTTACAAGTGTATTTGGAGTTTAGGGAAAAAGAATTTTCACTGTAAGACAAAACAACTGTACAATGCATGTATAGGTTGTTACTTCTTTTGTAAGTTACGAGAACGGATATGAGCATTGACCTTAATGTATATGTACTCGAAGTTCTTAACCTGCTTGTGACTTGTTCATTAGAAAATGTTTTGTTTCTGTTTCATATAATGAAGAATAGATGGCACTTTTAGTGTTAATATGAGCAATGATTCTTTCCATTATGCTAAGAAATACAAATGCTGTTTGTATGTTTTTTTATCGTGAATAAGTACATGTTTTAGTCAAAGTATGGAAAATAAATAGCTAATTATTTATGTAAGATGCACTTGCATATAATGAAAAATGTTACAAAATCATTATTCCAGAAAAGATATTAAATAATGCTTTTTCTTAAAAACATATTTCTCTGCATAATAAGCTATAAAGTAGTCAGTTTCAGGTGAAACAACTTTTCCATTTGTTTAACTTTTAACCTCATTTAGGTTCAAATGGCTCTAGGAACTTTAAAGATGGAGAATTTGATACCTGGAAAAACCAACATCATCCAGTAAGTTATTTGTTTTTTAATTAATCAATTTGATACATGATGACTTGTACTGTAATTTTGGTTAGGTTTTCAAATATTTCCTCATTATATCTCCATAGTTGCAGTGCTTTATGTGAAGTAAAATATCTGGTGATGAGCATGTGAAATAATTTAAAGACGAATCCAGCTTTCAAGTAGTTTAGTCGTAGCACAGCGGCTCATAGAGTGGCTCTGAGTTTTTTTTTCTAAGTACAAACTTTTAGCTCATAGCTCCATCTCTTGACTGATTTGAGATCTAATTACAGCTGTGGCTATTGGGGATTCCCTCTTGTTTCAAATATCAAACATGTTGATAACTAGAAAAACAACCAAAGTTCAAAACTTTGATAATTTTCATTGATATATAACAATTTGGTGGAGCTAGTAATAGCATAGTTTTATTCTTTTATTTTGTACACAAGATATTAAAAGCACTGCTAGATTTTCTCAAAAGTTATATAGTTCTACTGGAATTCTCAAAGCAAATTCTGAGTTGTGATATTTATGTTAGACTGTAATGACTGTTTCATTTATGCTAAAGATAATGGATATCAGATTAGTGCTGGGCAATTAACACGATTAATTGATATAATTGATTATTACTGATTAATCAAAATTTATGATTATGATGTTACAAAAATAATCAATTAATTGAAATTAGGGTGTACAGTTTTCCATCTAAGTAATTGAAATATTAACATTTATGTCTTTTCAGTATTTTCAGTTATTTTTGTGAGTTTTGACACTTGTTGATTAAACTGAGCAAATCTGAATTAATCAACTAATAGAAATTAGTGTTTCTGATATGATTACTTACCTCATCTCACAGTTACAGCTATTCTTGATTTGACTGCCTTTTTTTGCACAAATTTTTGCTTGCCACTAGACTTGAGCTCCCACCTTATTCACGTGTATATCCGTGGTTCAGCTTCATTTAAGCATACAAGTTAGCATTAGACAACCCTCCTATCACAGCTGACTTCCTCTATGCAGTTGAACACAGTCTTCACTGATCTATTTGCCACAGCAGTGTTAAGACCTAGTGTTTGATTTCAGACTTCCCATAAAGGGTGCCATCAGTCAGGTTTTTTCCTGGATTCATTTTCTGACTTTTTGTCATCCCCAAGGAGACTAGGGTTTGGTGTCCTGTGATCGATCTGTCCTGTCTGAATTGCTGTTTCCTCAATGTACCTTGGTTCACCATGGAATCCTCACTGTTTCTCAGAGGGGCCTTTCTACCAGGGCTTTGGATAATGAAATTCTACATGTCCAATGCTTATTTTCACATCCCTGTTGCTCAGGCTTCACGTCGTTTTCTACATTTGTTCTGTGAGGATTACGTTTATTGGTTCTGAGATCTTCCTTTCAGGCTGGCATTGCACCCTATGATTCTTGCTAGGTGGTCCAGTCATTTGACTGATTCTTTCATTCTCATGGGCTCAAATTCCATTTTATGGACGACTGGCTTTATCCTTTCCAGAGTCTTCCTCACACACCCAACTTCTTCTCAAAGAAACTGATTAAATGGGTTGGTTTATCAAAGTGAAAAAGTTATCCACTCCACTCAATATCTTGTTCTCCTAGGGGTGTTTTTCATCTCGCATTTCAGTTTAGTCTAGCCTTCTCCTCTTCATTTGTGATCCATGGAGTTTTTAGTTTAGAAGGAACTATCAGTACCTTCTCTCCCTTCACAAGAGGTTCTGTCTCTTTTGGGAACTTGAGCATCATTGGAGGCTCTTATCCCTTTGGGTCATGCCCACACACATTCCTTGAAATGGGTACTACCTCATCAGGGACCCTATGAATTTACAGTTATCCCTACTTGCTTCCCTTCAGTCTGGAGGTTAGACAGGGACAACACAATAGTGGGTGTTACCTATTTCTTCTACCTGTCTGGATGGCCATGTCTTCACAGATGCCTTGTTGGCAGGATGGTGAGCATGCTGTATTACACAGGAGATCTTGGGCCATTGGTCTCAGGAGGAATTACGTCTTCACGTTAACCTTTTGGTACTCCTTGTTGTTCATCAGGAGATGGTTCATTTTCTGTCATTCCTGTAGGGCATGACAGTTATGATTCATTCCATCAACTTGATGGTTGTCTCTTACATCACCAGTCAAGGGGCAATCGATCTTGGTCTTTATGTTCCTGTACTCTAGATCTTCTCTCTTGCCTCTCAATTAAATGCTAAGCTTTCTCTCTCTTTTGGTCCCCAGTTTCACATCCTATGGCTTTTGCCATGGATGCATTCAGCTAGGATTGGAAGGACCTTTCCTTTATGCATATCCTAGCATCTGTCTTCTACACTGAGTAATTTCTCTCATACAATCCACTCTGTGTTGGGTCCTTCTTGTGGCTCCTTTCTGGCTGGGTCAACCGTGGTTTTCGTCACTGTCACATCTTCAGGAACAACCACCATTACCTCTTCCTTTCTCACAGTCCCTCTCAACTTCATTCAAGGGTGCTTCATTCTTCCATTCCCACACTCTGGCTTCATGTGTAGCTTTTGTCTACTCCCATGTGAGGGGTTCAGAACTATCCACTCATGTAGCATCCCTGTTATCTCACACTGTCCATTGCTCATCCATGTTTGTGTATCAACGTAAGTCTATCACACTCACTGTTGAGATGAGGTGTTTCACAAGACTACTTGCAGGTTCTTCCTCATGGTATTTTGCATCATAAATATGTTTGTACCAGACCACACACTCATGGAATAACATGATTCTATCAGAAAGAGATTGCTGCCTATCTCTAAGTCTCCTTAAATTTCCAGAATCGCGAACAGTCTGCTTTTCAAAATAGGGTATCGTGGTCACCCACTGCACTTTCTCCAGTGATGCATTCCTCCAGACTTTCCAACATTGTTTTTTCCCTCCCTTTTTCCAGTGGAATACGGGAGTCCTTACCACTTCCCAACTGAGAATATAGGCATTGGAATACCTGGGGGTCAAGAGAAAACTCCATGGGTAACTAGAATGGTGTATCTTGGAGGAATCCTTCTGAGTGGTCACAATTCCACCCAGTTGAGAGTAGGGCAGTGGCATTTTGCTTGTGAAGAATGCATGACTATCCTCATGCACTGGGTTTGATGTTTTATCCCATATGCCATCAGTCTGGACTGGATTTTTCTGTATATTTTGCAGTTAATCCCTCTGGCTAGGAACCGTCCTTCCTACTGCCAACTGGATGGCAGTTCCTGGGTGGCTGGTGTTGGTTAGAGCTGGACCAGCCAATAAGTCCTCACATGTGAGTTGGTTAGGAACTTCCCCCTACCAAAGACTTGATGTTACCTTCCCAATGCCAATTGGCTTTGGATTGGAATTGAACCTCTATGTTGCATTTCCATCTTCCTGATGTTGACCAAATGTTCATTGATCCAGGTTGTGTTGGATTTGCACACACGTTAGTTTAGGTTCTTGGAACAGAGGCTTCTCTTCCCTCAAGAATAGTAGAGGGAGCTAGTTGTGCTAGTATGGAGGCACAGTATGATTGGTGGAGGGTAGTCACATGATCAACACATGTTTTGAAATTGCAGGAAACTGATGGTGTAAAAAAGACTGGTATGCTGTTAGAGAAAAAGTTTAATAATGCTTAGAGGGCAGTCCAGGATTAAGATAGCTTTGGGTGAGTTGAGGTAAGTATGTCTCGGAAATACATTTTCAATTTAAGAAAACATTAACTTTTAAAATTGACCAAAGTTTATAGATACCAGAAAAAGTTGTATTTATTCAGAAATACACTTTTTTTTCAGTTATTTGCTTAGTAACCATTATGATGTTCAGAGACATTTATAAGCCCTTCCTCCAATTGCTCAAGGATAAGCCAAAGAGTTTATAACACTAAAAATTAGGTACCCATGGTGGGGACAGCACAGGTAGCCCATTTTGTAGCTCTGTGATTAATAACGAACAGAAGCTATTCACTTTAATAGGCGAGCAATACATTTATAGGAGAAAACCAGTCTGTGAAGTTTCAGTAAAGTAATGCTTTAGAAATGCACTAACTTAGTTTTCAACTTTTTAATTATAAGTAACTATATCTTTAGCAACTGAATCATTAAAAAATCACTAGATTGCCCAACACAGTTAAAACATTATCTCATCAGTATTTCACACCAGTTTATCACACACAAAATGTAATTAGAATAATAGTATAAGAAATACATGTATTTTATTTTTGTTAGTTAATTGTACATGTGTAAAAAATCCTTGTTATAAAACATTTTCTTTTCACAATGTTACATGTATGCATTTTCATATGTGTGACTTGTTATGAATTAAATGCCTTGTAGTTACACCTAATGAGAAAAGTTATACAAAAGGAAGTCTTACTGTAATCACATGCTCCTTAAACACTGCCTACCTAGTACAGTAAGCTTAAATTAGTTTGATTTATTAATTTGTCAGCATGTACATGTGTTTTCACAGTTTTTCCAGTCCGTACAGTAAACTGTAAGCATATTAATAATTTGATTGTCGTTTCTAAACTGCTGTCTCTATCAACAATAATTTGTTCAAACACTTATGATGTTTTTGTACTTATAGATTTGTTAATTACTTTAAGCTTTTCATGCAAATGATAGAATTAGAAAAAAAAATTCTGAAACATCAGTAATTAACTCTTTACACATGAAGTTGGTAAAAGCAACACACCTTATAATCATGAAACTATACAGAATTTTCCTGTTTAGAATAAGAATACTTCTTTTTACCTTACAGTTTTCATATTTCATTTGCATAAACTTTGGAACCTCCTAAATGAATATCAAAATATTTTTTCTTTCTGTTAAAACTATGTTTTATCTCTTATTTTCTTCACTCTAACACTAATTATTAATTATGAATTTCAGTTTCCTGGAAACATTGTTCTTCCATTGTTGGGGTAAAATTTATGAATGAATTAATAGAGCTAGTAATTGTCAAAAGTTTTGCATTGCAATTTATTGTGATACAAAGGGTTATATCTTAGTTAATTATTCTGTTGTTCCTTTTATTATTTTGCCGTATGCCAAGAAATTTGGGTATCATTCTTTGCAAAATGCACATATGTAGATGTTATCTAATTCATCATTTGGTAATAAAGCAACAAGGCAACTAGCAATCACTTTTTGCATAAGAATTATGTGAAAAAAAGCACCTGTGTGGTGTCATTTTAACAAAAATATTGGGTAAAATATGACAGTTTGATGTACCAAGATAATATGATATTACCTCATATTGCTTGAAAACAATGTGGGATATGCTGATATATTGATAATATTTTAATTAATATTAATGATCAAAGCAAGCTACCTCTATAGATCAGAACTCAAAATCAATCCAGTAATGAATTCCAAATTTAATATGCTGTTCTTAAATCCTTATGATGATTAAAATGCATTGTTTCGTGGGTTTGGTACTTTAATAATGTTTCCAGCCATATATCCTAATAATGCCTCACATTTTTCAATCAGCCTAGGAAATTTAGTTTAGTTCTAAAATTTTGTATTAAGCAAACAACATACAACAATCTTTATAACAATAAAAATGTATAATAATATAAATTTAAGAATTTGTAGTTGTATTTTAGAATTTTATTAGGCTAGAGCATTCTGTAGTGGTATTTAGGATTACAGCAGGATGCTGTGTTCTGTAGTGGTATCTTGGAATTATAGGGTATGTTCTACAGTGGTATCTTAGTGTAGGATGCTGCTGTGTTCTGATGTGGTGCCTTAGAACAACAGTGGGGTTCAAAATTCAATAGTGGTATCTTAGAATTACATTTGTGTACAGTATTTTATAATGTTATCTTAGAATTAAAACAGGATACTGTGTTCTGTAGTGGTGTATTAGAATTACAGCAGGATGCTGTGTTCTAATGTGGTGTATTAGAATTACAGCAGGATGCTGTGTTCTACTGTGGTGTATTAGAATTACAGCAAGATGCTATTTTCTGTTGTGGTGTGTTAGAATTACAGCAAGATGCTGTGTTCTGTAGTGGTATATTAGAATTAGAGCAGAATGGCTGTGTGTTGTAGTGGTATATTAGAATTAGAGGAGGATGCTGTTTTTTATTGTGGTGTATTAGAATTACAGCAGAATGCCGTGTTCTGTAGTGGTATATTAGAATTAGAGCAGAATGCTGTGTTCTGTAGTAGTATACTAGAATTAGAGCAGAATGTTCTGTTCTGTAGTGATAGAGTTAGAGCATGATGCTGTTTTCTATTGGGGCGTACTATAATTACAGTAGGTTGCTGTGTTCTGTAGTAGTATATTAGAATTACAGCATGATTCTGTGTTCTGTAGTGGTATATTAGCATTATAGCAGGATGCCGTGTTCTGTAGTGGTATATTAGAATTTAAGTAGGATGCTGTATTCTGTAGTGGTATATTAGAATTTAAGCAGGATGCTGTGTTCTGTAGTGATATATTAGAATTATAGCAGGATGCTGTGTTTTACTGTGGTGTATTAGAATTACAGCTGGATGCTGTGTTCTATTGTGGTGTATTAGAATTACAGCAGGATGCTGTGTTCTAATGTGGTGTATTAGAATTACAGCAGGATGCCATAAATAGTAATCAAATTATTCTATCCGGATAAATGCATTTTGGCTTTTATGACTTCTCCTACTTCGAGAAATCGTGTGATGTGATGTGACACACACTGACTTTTATATAGTTTGGATGCTTGTCCAAAATAAAAATTCTAAATTATGTTCTATAACAATTGAATTTTTTAAATGTTCTTTATGTTTCACAGAACCTATAATTTAGAGAGTTCATATAAGGTTAAGAATGTTATGATTACTTTTTTTAGACCTACAGTTCTTCTGTGTCCAGTGCAAACATGGGTGATCCCTACTCCTGTATGACAAATTACTATGCTACCATGCCATTTCAGTATGTCAACCAAAGTGGTCTAGGGGAAGCTACCTGGAGTAATGGCTCAGATCCAGTTACATTTCTTAGTGGTTATAGTGGTCAGCTTGGAGCTGGAGACCAGCATGCACCTTACATGGATGGAATGTTTGGACAGAGTAGTTTTCCAGGTTATGGCCAGGGATTTAATTTCTTTCATGGAACTAGCAGTGATTACTCAGCCTTGGGAGGTTCTGGAATGGGAGGCCGTAAGCCTGTAGGCCATGATTATCCAGAAGACTATATTCAAGAGTGCTATGAACAGAACAGAGATCAAACTGCTGTTAGGAAACTAGAGCAGGGAATGAGCAACCTTATGGTGAAAGATGCAAAAACTGATGTTCCATATACAGATGCAGCTGTGGCTTCTGGTGGTGGTGATATTCATTTAGGGAGACGAGGTGGGAATTCTTTTAATCCAGGAGGCCCAGCATATCTAATTGGTTATAAAAAAATGTCATGGGCGTCTGTTGCCAGCCAACCAGCCAAACCAATGTCTAAAATGAAATTAAAATCTGTATCTCCTGCACCATTGTTCTCTAATAAACAAAGCTCTTCCAATATGGATATTGGTACTTGGGAGGATAAGAATGGTAGTAATGTTAATAGTGGCAGAATGGGCCCTATCCCACCTCTAACTCAACCAAGGCCTTCTCCTTGGGGAGTACAAAGAGGTGGAAGGTCAAATGGCCCTTTAGACCAATCTTATGACAGTTCTCTTCAACCCCCATCCCAACAGATTATTACGCTAGATCAGTCTCCTCTCAGACCTGATAACTTTCCATCCCATCCAGTTCTTGATAAGCTACGAATGGAAAATAACTACAATCCAAAAGAATTTGATTTGAATGCTAAAGGTGCAAGATTCTTTATCATTAAATCTTTTTCTGAGGATGACATTCACCGATCTATCAAATACTCTATCTGGTGTTCCACTGAACATGGTAACAAAAGATTAGATGCAGCTTACAGAGAAAGAGAGGGTAAAGGGCCAGTGTATTTGTTTTTTAGTGTCAATGGGTCTGGGCATTTTTGTGGAATGACTCAGATGATGTCAGCAGTAGACTATAACACGTCAGTTGGGGTATGGGCCCAGGATAAATGGAAGGGTCGTTTTAAAGTCAGTTGGATTTATGTAAAAGATGTTCCAAATTCACAGCTTCGTCACATTAGACTAGAAAATAATGAAAATAAACCAGTCACAAACTCTCGTGACACTCAAGAAGTTCCAGGAGAAAAGGGGAAACAGATGTTGAAGATAATTCACAACTATCGTCATAACACTTCAATCTTTGATGATTTCCTTCATTATGAAAAACGGCAAGAAGAGGATGAACAGCGAAAGTCGCAGGTTAGTGAAAAATAATAGTTTATAATTGTGTTTTGTCTGACATAATACCAAAAGAAATATATTGGAAACTCTCAGATTGTTGATTTGTTCAAGAAGAGTAAGAAATGAGGCATTGTTCCTTGCTATCTTTGAGAAAATTTGAGTTTAACTATATTTTGATTTTCATTGCATATATTAAATCTGTGGCAAATTACATATGGAGGTTTAGTAAAAGTAAGCTATTAGCACCTTTTTGAAATACAAATTGAATTTGCATCTAGAACATGTTAAAATCCTTATTTATGTTTTCGACCTGGTGTGTTATGTTTTATGGAAGTAAATTAATTTTATTGTAGTTTCTAGGATTTGATTTACATGTGCATGACTTGATAGCTCTCAAATACCCCTCTGTATATGGATGTGACAAGGTTTCTTTTACATTGATGATTTCTAAAAAGAAGGTTCTACACACGTTTTATTTTTTTATTGCTTTTATAGTGATGTATTTTGTATTGAAATACAAATTGTTTACAGATGTGGGTTGGACATGCCATAAACTCAGTGGTATTTAACTTGTAGAGTAGGGTAGCTAGGGTAATGGTCTCATAACAGCTAATCCAGCAGTTTTGCTGGACACGTTCAGTGCCTCACCCACTGCAAAACAATGTATGAAATGGGATGGTGGGCCACCTTGTTGGAAGGAATGCATACTAATGTTATCATTAGCTTTTAAATTAATTATATAAAAGTTCTCAAAGTATGGGAGTCCAGTGTATATTTTGGAAGAAAAAGAGACCATGGATTAGTTATCATAAAACATCGTATCAAACAATGGTTTTTGGTGAGTACTACACAGCTTTTTTCCCACCTTCCTGAAATTGATATATTAATTGACTAGCTCACACAGATATGTTACCTCTTTAGACAAGATAATATGGTGGAGGAATATATATACTCGTGATCCATCCAGTTAGTCCTCAGGTGTAACAGTGGTAAGATTACAGACTTACAATGCTAAAATCTTGGGTACAATTCCCTGCAGTGGATAGAGCACAAAGCCCAATGTGGCTTTGCTCTAAGATAGACAAACAAACAAATTTATCCAGTTAAGAAATGTTATATTTACTTTGCATGTACCTTTTAGTATTTTTGAAATTTTTCATGCACTGTAACATTTGTCACATTAAATTCAACAGAAGCCTTTTTCATATATTTTCCTGGGCTACATTGAAAAATCTTGGTCACTAAGTTGGTATGTTCACATATATTGGGTCATCCACTGTTCATTTTTGGAAATAGGTCTTGTAATTTTGAAATTGTGCTATTATTTAATTGTGCTGTTCAGTGAAGTCTGCCCTGGACTACCTATATGGAATTGATGATGTATAAGAACAATACACTAGAATTTCACATGGCACACAGAAGTGTGCTTTAATCTTTTTGACATTACTTTGTATCTTTTGACAAAACTGGCGAGATGAAATAAAACAGGTTATGTTTCCGATACAACACATTACCTCTCCTTGCAAAAAGCTTTTCTCGACTTATACTGCCTTCTATCAGTGCAAGTTTTCACTTGCCACCAGCCTTGACACTCCCACTTAACCTTACGTATGTTAACATGAGATATCTGCATACTAACATGTAAATGTTTATGCAGCAACCCTCCACCAATAGGAGTGTGACACTACCTCTATCATAACTAGCACCCTCTCTAATCTTACAGCTGTAAACCACTTCTCAATTGAAAGTCTTATTGTCTACATGTATTTCACTCGTGGTTTGATTGACTTGTGCAAAAGATTTTCCTTTCTAGTTTTTCAGGCCTTTCAGCTATTTCCTAAATCAGTTACATTTGTTATTTACCATTTGTTAATTCTGGTGGAGAGTTACGAATTATATTTTTTTCTTTTCTCTCTCTCCTCTCCTGCTTGACTTCCGAAAGTTTCAGGTGGTCATGACTACAACTGCTGTTACTTTTGCACTGGATTTACTGACCATGTATACGAGGTTAGAACCAAAATTGTCGGCACATGAAGTGACAGCTCTGGTGCATCAGGAAATGGTCAATTCCATGATACATTCAGAACAAACTGAAAATTGTACTATCACACCTGCTCAAGGTTTGATTGATTGGGACGAGGCTGACTTGGACAGCCTTTATCCCCTCGTGAATGTCCCTCTCAAATGTGTGTAATTTCAGGGGAATTGCACAGACTCCATCACCTGTTGTGGAATTGATTAATCAGATATGTTATGTTCTGTCCTTATCTCCTGTTTCCTATGGTTCCACCCCTGCCCCTTCTCTGGGATGAGTCTTTGGGTCATTATTTATTATTTCCTCCCTCCCCAAATATTGGGGTTCATGCAAGTTGTTTTTGGGGAGCAACTGCATTCAGGACACAGTATGCCTTGACCCCCACATACTATGGACGATTTTGCTTTAGATTGTCATTGTTCAAACTTTCCTTATTTTGCCTCACAGCATTTAGAGTCACTTATCCATTTTGTTGGGATTGGAACTCAATTTGTTGGTTCCCTTTCCCTTGTCGGTTTCTTCTTCTTGGGCTTTGGTAACTCGCTATTGGTACCCTGTCAGGCATTGTCTTCAGGGCATCCAACATCAGTGACTATGTTCTCAGGTCTGGCCTCCAGACTCCTTCACTTTGCTGTGGATATGTCAGTTCTGAGAGTCGTCTCAGAGGGTCTGATCCTCCAATTCTATTCATGGGATCCTGTTTCATCCGAGCGTCTTTTGAAGGTAGTTTGGAACTTACTTCATAAGTGTGCCATCGATTGAGGTGGTCCTTCATTTTTGTTTTCTTCTTTTCTGTTTGTTTGTGAGGGACTGGTGCCTGGTCAATTTATTGTCTCTGAACTGCTTCTTAGTCTTTCCCAAGTTCACCATGGAATCATATTTAGTTCTTTGTTGAGGTTTTCACTCCTGGTTTCTCGATGACAAAGGTCAATGTCAGATGCATATCCCCATCTCCCCATATCCCATTCATCCAGTTCATATCTTTGCTTTACTCATCAAGTGTGTGTATGTTTCAGTTTCGGGCACTTATGTTCGGACTTGCCTCAGCACCCTATAGGTTCTTTTGGGTAGTCTTGGTATTTACCCACCTGATTCATGCCAGGGACTTTTGTTCCCACCTTTATATGGGCAACTGGCTACTTATAACCTCCTCACATTAAGAATCTGCTCTACTTACTCAATTTCTTCATCAGGAAGATGCCAGGGTGGGTAGGCTTGTCAAGATGGAGAAGTCTTTTGGTTTGTCTCGGGGTGTATTTCAACTCTATGATCAGTCGGGTCCAACCTTCTACTTTTTGGTGGAGGGCTAAGGAACATCTTGTATGTAGCATCTCCTCCTCCTCTTCTCCAACTGCACAAGAGATTTTCTCCTTTGGCAATATGGGCTTTTCTGGAAGCCCTCATTCCTATTGGTTGTGCCCACATTCATCATATTCAGTGGGTTTTTTAGACCAATGGAGTGTTTTTCAGGATCCCTTAGATGCCTCTCTCACCCTTCCCCCTTTCCTTCCATACTTATTCCACCTGGTGGTTGATTGAGACAACACTACTTTGGGTGTTCCTCTTCTGCTTCCTTGTCCAGAATGTCACCTTTTTACGGATGCTTTTTCTGGTTGGGGCATATCTCTACACTCAGGAAGTTTTGAAGAGATGGACTCTTTCCAAGTCCTCTCCTTGCAGTTCATTGAGCTTTACTTCACTTCCTGCAGGCTCTTTAGGGTCAGTTGTTTATGGTACACTCCAACAATTCTACATTAGTCTCATACATCTCCAGGCTAGGGGCACTGAGTTGTGAGACCTCTGTTTTCTAAAGTTGGATCTCCTATATTGAGCCCACAGCCAACACATCACATTGTTAGCATGTATTCTTCTGGTTACCCTGATTCTTGTCATGGATAAGTTATCCCATCCTGACAAGATTTGACCTACAGAGTGGTTTTTGGATCCTCAAGTTCTTCAGGGATTGTATGATCAGTGGAATGTCCCAGATTTGGATGCTCTTGCCACTCATTTCAATACATAGCTTCCCCCCGATTTTGGTTCTCTGTTCCTTATCCTTTGGCTGGGGCAGTAGGTGATTGCAGTCTGGATTGGCTGTGTTAGTACCTATATGCATATCCTCTTATTCATTTCCTCCCACTTGTTCTTGCTATAATTCAGACCACTTCGTGTCATGTTCTGTTGGTGGCTCTTTATTGGCTGACTCAAACATGGTTTCCACTGCTGTGCTAACTTTTGCTGTTACTCCTCCTTCCTTTATCTCCAATGCTCCTATGCCAGCCCAATCATGTGTGTCATCCATTCATTCCCACACTCCTTCTTCATGTGTGGCTTTTGTCCGGTCTCTCACCAGAAGGATCAGACTTTCACATCATTGGCTTACTTAACTTCTCATCCTCTCTGTCCTTCCTCCATGGCAGTTTACCAATGTTAGAGGTACACATATTGCTGCTGGTCTGTCCAAAATGGTTATCATCCTTCCCATTCTAATCTTTCTCACTTCATATCAATTTTTGACTTGGCTTTTTGCCAAGGGCCTTTTGGTTTCCTCTGTTGCAGGCTTTCGGGCAACTTTATCCACCATAATTTAGGTTTCTATATAGGCTCATCTTCGGATCACCAGTCTTGTTCATGTTGTTTCATTTCTTCCGCATTTCCCATCCTCCTTGCCCTGCTTTGCTCCTTAATTGGAATCTCAATGAGGTCCTGCATGTTCTTACCCATCCTTCTTTCAAGTATTTGTTTTCGGGTTTGTTATATCCCCTTCTTTGAAGTTCATTTTCTTGCTCATATTGGCCTGTGGAAGTCTTAGTTCATTTGTGTTCATGATTGATGTCCACTGCATTTTTGTTTATAGTTCCTTCGTTCTTCTCTTTCCAGTTCGTTACTTTGTGTCCAAATCTTTGTCTGCACAAGAGCGAAATTCCACATTCTCACCCATTTCTCTTTCTTCCATATCCCATCTTTATAATTGTTATGATCA